CCCACTTCAAGATGTTTATCCAAGACAGATGAAAGCAGATGCCCATATGAAGACCTATACATAGGTTCATAACAGCTTTATGTATAATAACTAAAAACTGGAAACAACCTAAATGCATATACACAGATGAATGGATAAACTAGTATATAATAAAAAAAAAAATCAACTATTGTTCCTGCTTCAGTATGGATGAATCACAAAATAATTATGGTGAGTGAGAGAAGCCAGACAAAAACTAGTGCATTCTGTATGATAAGGTTTATATAAAAATCTAGAAAATGCAAACTAATCTATAGTTACAGAAAGTAGATCAGTGTTTACCTGGTAATTGGAGGAGAGGAAGGAATCACAGAGTGACATCACTTTGGGAATTGATGGATATGTTTATTGTCTTGATTTTAGTAAAGATTTACAGATAGATACATATTTAAAATTCATCAAATTGTACCCTCTCAATATGTGTACTATTTCATATGCTAAATAAAGCCATTAAAAATAGATCACATATTGTATGTTCTCTGTTATCAATATAAATAAACTAGAAATCAATAGAAATAATATATCTAGCAAAACTCTAAGGGCTGGCCCAGTGGCACAGCGGTTAAGTTCACAGGTTCTGCTTCCGGGGCCCGGGGTTCACCGGTTCAGATCCCAAGTGCAGACACGGCACCACTAGCCAAGCCATGCTGTGGTAGGTGTCCCACCTATAAAGCAGAGGAAGATGGGCACAGATGTTAGCTCAGGGCCCGTCTTCCTCAGCAAAAAGAGGAGGATTGGCAGCAGTTAGCTCAGGGCAAATCTTCCTCACGAAAAAAAAAAGAAAACTCTAAGTATTTCAGAATTAAACATCAAACATTTTTAAATCCATGGGTTAAGGAAGAAATAAAAGTGGAAACTAGAAAATATTTCAAACTGAATGGTAATGAATATAAAACATATCAAAATCTTTCAGTATAGCAGTATTTAGAAGGGAATTTGTAGCACTATGCTTGCTATGGGTTGAATTGTGCCCCCTCCATATTCATACATTGAAGTCCTAACCTACAGTACTCAGAACGTGACCTTATTTAGAAATAGAGTTTCTGCAGATGGAATTTGTTAAGATGGGATTATACTGGAGTAATGTGAGCCCCTCATCAAATATAACTGGTGTCCTTATAAAAAGTGGAATTTTGGACACAAGCACTCACACGGGAAATATGCCACATAAAGATGAAGGCAGAGATTGGGGTGATGTGTTTGCAAGACAAAGAATGCCAAAGATGGCCCACAAACCACGAGAAGCTAAGAGAGAGACCTGGAACAGATTGTGCCTCATACCTCTCAGAAAGAACCAATTCTGCTAACACCTTGATCTCATACTTGGAGACCCCAGAAGTAACTGCCAGACAAAAAATTTCTGTTGTTTAAACTGCCCAGTTTGTGGCACTTTTTTATTGCAGCCCTAGAAAACTAATACAACACTTTTATTAGAAAAAGAATAGTGGTTCAATATCAATGATCTACCTTAAAATACTAGAAAAAGAAGAGCAAATAGAAAAACCAAAGTAAGCAGAATGAAGGGAAAAAAAGTGATAATAGTAAAAAGTTAATCAAATAAAAATAGATAAATAATTGAGAAAAACCAATGAAATCTAGATTGATAAAACTCTAGCTAGCCTGATCAAGAAACAAAGAGGGGCCGGCCCATGGCGCAGTGGTTAAGTTCGCATGTTCCACTTTGGTGGCCCAGGGTTCACCAGTTTGAATCCTAGGTGCTGACATGGTACCGCTTGGCACGCCATGCTGTGGTAGGCATCTCACATATAAAGTAGAGGACGATGGGCATGGGTGTTAGCTCACGGCCAGTCTTCCTCAGCAAAAAGAGGAGGATTGGCAGCAGTTAGCTCAGGGCTGATCTTCCTAAAAAAAAAAAAATAAGAAACAGAGAAATCCCAAAATACCAATAGAGAACTATACCATGTCAATGGATTACAGTGCTCAATCTTGTTTCAATGTTAGTTCTCTCTAAAAGATGTATACAAAGTAATTTTTGATATGGAAAAGAAAAGAGGCTAGGGCAGCTAAGATAATCTTAAAAAAGAAAAAGAAGAGGTCATACACTCTCTCACTTCCAGATTTACTACATTGCTCCATTAATCAAGATAATATGGTATTGTCATAGTCACAAAGATAGACAAATAGATCACTTTAACAGAATGAAAGGTTTAATAAAAATGACTACTGTTCACACAATCCATTTATTTTTCAACAAGATTTCAAAATAGTAAAATGAGGAAAGGAAGTTTTTTTGAATAAATTTTGCTGGAATGACTAGCTGTACATACGAGAAAAAACCAAAACCTCACACTATACACAAAAAGTTAATTTGAGCTAGATCAAAGACCTAAGTGTAAAACCTTACATTGTAATGCTCATTTTTTTCAACACAGGTTAGCTTCATGACCTTGGGCTGACACTGGGGCAGACAAAAAAGTTCACAGAAAGGACACAGAAAACACTAACCAAAAAAAAAAAATTATCAAAATTAAAACATTTTGCTCACGCTATTAAAAATATGAATATTCTAACTGAAGACTAGTCAAAATATATAACATATAAAACTTACAAAAAGCTTCAATTGAGAATATATAAATAACTTCTACAACTGAATAATAAAAAATAAAACAATTCAAATGAAAAATGAGCATTTCACCAAGGGTTATATACTAATGACTGAGAAGCCCTTGAAATGGCGTTCAAATCATTAGGCATCATAGAAATGCAAATTAAAGCCACAATGTGATACTATCATCTCCCAACTAGAATGGATAAAATTAAAAAAATTAAAAATACCAAGTGATGACAAGTATGTGGAATGGCTGAAACTCTCACGTATTGCTAGTGGGAATGCAAAATTTGGAAATCAGTCTAGCAGTTTCTCATAAATGTAGTCATCATTTATCCAAGAGACATGAAAACATATAAACACAAAAAAAGCCTGGAATGTGCTACTTCAAAGCAACCTTATATAAATAGTCAAAAACCAAAAGTAACCCAAAAGTCCATCAATAAGAGAATGGATAAACACACTGTGGTATTTCCATATAACAGAATACTATTCGGGAATAGGGAGGAATGAATTACTCAACAATAGGGATGAATCTCAAAAACATTATGCTGTTCATTGCAGCATTATTCACAATAGCCACGACTTGGAAGCAACTCATGTATCCATCAACAGATGAATAAATAAAGAAGATGTAGTATATATACACGTGGAATACTACTTAGCCATAAAAAAGATGAAATTGTGCCATTTGTGACAACATGGATACACCTTAAGGGTATTATGCTAAATGAAATGTCAGAGAAAGACAAATAGTGTATGATTTCACTCATATGTGGAAGCCAAACACATAAATAAGAAGAACAGGTTGGTGGTTACCAGAGGGGAAGTGGGTGGGGAGAGGGCAAAATGTCGGGCTCATATGTATGGTGATAGATCGAAACTAGACTTTTGGTGGTGAACATGATGCAGTCTATACAGAAGCCGAAATATAATGATGTACACCTGAAATTTACACTGTGTTATAAACCAATGTAACCTCAATAAAATAAAATTAAAAAACACATTATGCTGAGTAAAAGAAGCCTTACATAAAGTATATTCTGCATTATTCCAATTATATGATATCCATATATGAAGACAAAAATAACAGCAGAAACTTATTTCTGGTAAAAGATTTCAGAACAATGGATGTCTCTGGTTGAGGGTGGGATTGACTGAGCTGGAGCACAAAAGTGACCTTTCTGGGGTGATGGCGATCACCTACATCTTAATGTGTGGGTGACAGATTTATGCAACTGTCAAAATTCATCAGACTATGAACTTAATACTTGTGCATTTCCTTGAATGCAAGTTATACTGCACATTTTTATAAAAGTTGAAAAAGAAGCTTTTTAAATGTCATACTAACCATGGGGCACAGAATTGTCTGCTCAGTAAATTAGTCCAAATGTATAATCAATAAATAAACTGTTCTACATTCTGAATCCAATGAATTTGTTTCCCATTCTAGCAGATGTGCTTGCTCACCATAATTTAGATTTTAAGTCTTCAGAAGGAAGGCTGCTTCCAGGGCCGCATGGTAGCATAATGGTTAAGTGCTCCGCTTTGGCAGCCCAGGGATGGCAAACCCAGATTCCAGGTGTGGACCTACACACCACTTACCTAGCCATACTGTGGTGACATCCTAAACACAAAATAGAGGAAGACTGGCACGGATGTTAGCTCAGGGACAGTCTTCCTCACAAAAAAAAAAAAAAAAAAAAAGAAGAAGAAAAAGAAATGCTGCTTCCAGAAAAATTTTGGGCTTTCCCAAAACTCATCCAATTTTCCAGATTTGGTCTAGTAGATTGGTCTTCCAGAAAGACCAAGTATATTCTGTGCAGTACACTCTTTCCTAATTTCAAACTCACATGTGTAGGATTAGTGAAAATCCAATCCACATTAATCTAATTTTGTCTAAAATATATTAATGTTTTCTGTTCTCTCAGTCTCCCTTTCTCTCACTCGTCTCTCTCTCAAGGTTCAAGGTTTTCCTTCTAGGAAACAGATTGTCACATTGGGCAATAGAGGAATAAATTCTACACAATTGCAAAAGCAATCACAACAGTTTTATTGAGATATAATTCACTCATTTAAAGTATAGAATTCAACATTTTTAAATATATTCATAGAGTTGTGCGCCATCACCACAATCAATTTTAGAACACTTTTATTGCCCTCATTTTTATCACCTTATTATACTTTCCATTTCTGTAAGTTGTATTTGTTTTTGTTCTAGCATTTTGCCTGAATGATTATTATGCCTCTTGTTTTTATACACATACTCTCAATTTCCTTTTATTTATGACATTAAACACGATTATACTGTATAGTCTATGCAAATAATTCCAATATCTCAGTATTTGTAGATCTTAGTCTAATTCTTTCTTTTTTCCTCTGATTCCTTCAGGTCTCAAGTCTGCATACGGACATGTGAGTAAACATTCTCAGGGGACAGTTTTTATGGCATCACTGGGTGCAAAGGTGGAAATTTGCATGTTTCCTTGCTATCTCCCCTTGTGGTGTGTGTTATTTTCCTATCTCCAAGTTTACCACTTCTCATAAGGTCACATACAGAGCTTTTTGAAGCCCACAGTTGTGCAGTCTGTGACCAGAGAACCCACCTCGAGGGGGCCCAGGGTGCCTCTTCTCAGTCTGTTAGCTCTGAAACCAAAGCTCAGGGCCTCCAGGTTTTGGTGGATGACCTCAGGCATGTCCCTGTCAACTTACCTCTCTGGGCCAGTGATTTCACTTTGTGTTTCTTGGACTCTGAGGATCTCTGTAACTCTTTGTCCAGTTCAACTTAGCATTTTTAAAAGTTCTTAAAAATATTCTATCCATGATTTTAATTCTACCCATATTGTTTTGAACTGTTTAAAGCAAGTGCTGCCAGAAAGTAAAAGGCAAGCATTTTCAACAGTGTACTGCAAATTTTTTTTTAGCGAGGTAACATTGGTTTATAACATTACCTAAGTTCCAGGTGTACAACATTATATTTGGATTTCTGTGTAGACTACATCATGTTCACCACCCAAAGACTAATTGCCATCCATCACCATACAGATGAACCCTGTCACCTCTTTCTCCTTCCTCCTTCACCCCTTCCTCTCTGGTAACCACCAATCTAATCTCTGTATCTATGTGTTTGTTTGCTGTTGTTTTTATCTTCTACTTGCTAGTGAGATCATACAGTATTTGACTTCCTCCCTCTGACTTACGTCACTTAGTATAGTATCCTCAGGGTCCAGCCATGTTGTCACAGGAAGATTTCATCTTTTTTTTATAGCAGAGTAGTATTCCATTGGGTATATTATACCACATGTTCTTTATCCATTCTTCTCTTTGTGGGCACCTAGGGTGCTTCCAAGTTTTGGCTATTGTGAATAATGTTAAAGTGAACACAGGGGTGCATAGAACTATACACATTCGCATTTTCACGTTCTTTGGATAAATAACCAGCAGTGGAATAGCTGGATCATACGGTAGTTCTATTCTTAATTTTTTGAGGAATCTCCATACTGTTTTCCATACTGATTGCACCAGTTTACATTCCCACCAGCAGTGTGTGAGAGTTCCCTTCTCTCCACATCCTCTCCAACACTTGCTCTTTTTTGTCCTGTTGATTATAGTCATTCTGAAGGGCATAATGTGGTATCCATTGTAGTTTTCATTTGCATTTCCCTAGTAATTGGTGGTGTTGAACATCTTTTCATGTGCCTGTTAGCCATCTGTATATCTTTTTTGGAAAAATGTTCAGATCTTTTGCCCATTTTTTACTTGGGTTGTTTGTTTCTTTGTTGTTGAGATATATGAGTTCTTTCTATATTTTGGACATTTACCCCTTATCCAATATATGGTTTGAAAATATCTTCTCCCAATTGTTAGGTTGTCTTTTGACTTTATTACTGGTTTCCTTTGCTAGGCAGAAGTTTTTTACTTTGATGTAGTACCATTTGTTTATTTTTTTCTTTTGTTTCTCTTGCCTGATCAGAAATTCAAAAATATGGTGCTAAGACTGATGTCAAAGAGCATACTGCCTATCTTTTCTTCTAGAAGCTTTATGATTTCAGGTCTTACATTCAAGTCTTTAATCCATTTGGAGTTAGTTTTTGTGTATGGTGTAAGATAATGATCTAATTTCATTCTTTTGCATATGGCTGTCCAGTTTTCCCAACACCATTTGTTGAAGAGACTTTCCTTTCTCCATTGTATGTTCTTAGCTCCCTTGTCGAGAATTGGTTTTCCATAGATGTTTGGGTTTATTTCTGGGCTCTCAGTTCTGTTCCATTGATCTGTGTGTCTGTTTTGTGCCACTACCATGCTGTTTGATTACTATAGCTTTGTAGTATATTTTGAAATCAGGGACTGTGATACTTCCAGCTTTGTTCTTTTTTCTCAGGATTCCTTTAGCTATTTGGGGTCTTTTGTTGGCATCCTTGTCTGGTTCCTGTGCTTAAAAGGCTAGCTTTCAGTTTTTCTCTGTTGAGTATGATATTGGCTGTAGGTTTGTCATATATGACCTTTATTATGTTAAGGTACTTTCCTTCTATACCCATTTATTCAGAGTTTTTATCATAAATGGATGCTGTATCTTGTCAAATGCTTTCTCTGCATCTATTGAGATAATCATGTGATTTTTATTCTTCATTTCGTTAATGTGATGTATCATGTTGATTGATTTGCAGATGTTGAACCAACTCTGTGTCCCTGGAATAAATCCCACATGATCATGATGTATGATCTTTTTTAATGTATTGTTGTATTCGATTTGCTAGTATTTTGTGGAGAATTTTTGTATCAATGTTCATCAGTGTTGTCCTTGACTGGTTTTGGTATCAGGGTAATGTTGGCCTCATAGCATGACTTAGGAAGCTTCCCCTCGTCTTCAATTTTTTGGAAGAGTTTGAGAAGGATAGATGTTAAGTCTTCTTTGAATGTTTGGTAGAATTCAGCAGGGAAGCCTTGTGGTCTTGGACTTTTACTTTTTGGGAGGTTACTGTTTCGATCTCCTTACTGGTGATTGGTCTATTCAAATTCTCTATTTCTTTTTGATTCAGTTTTGTAAGGTTATATGATTCTAAGAATTTATCCATTTCTTCTAGATTCTCCAATTTGTTACATATAGCTTTTCATACTATTCTCTTATAATCTTTTGTTTTTCTGAGGTGTTTGTTGTAATTTCTCCTCTTTATTTCTGATTTTATTTATTTGGTCCTTCTCTCTTTTTTTTTCATGAGTCTAGCTAAAGGTTTGCCAATTTTGTTTATCTTTTCAAAGAATCAGCTTTTAGTTTCATTGATTTTTTTTCTTTAGTCTCTATTTCATTTATTTCTGCTCTGATTTTTGTTATTTCCTTCCTTCTACTGAGTTATGGCTTTGTTTGTTCTTCTTTTTTCAGTTCCTGTACGTGCACTGTTAGATTGTTTATTTGAGATTCTTCTTCTTTGTTGAGGTACGCTTGTATTGCTATAAACTTCCTTCTTAAAACTGCTTTTACTGTATCCCATAGGTTTTGGCATGTTGTGTTTTCATTTTCATTTGTCTCCAGGTTTTTTTTTTATTTCTCCTTTGATTTATTCATTGATCCATTCATTGTTCAGTAGCATTTTGTTTAATCTCCACATATTTGTGGCTTTTACAATTTTATTTCTGTAGTTGATTTCTAGTTTCAAACCTTTGCGCTCAGAAAAGATGCTGGGTATTATTTCAATCTTCTTGAATTTATTGAGACTTGATTTGTGGCCCAATATGTGATCTATACTGGAAAATTTTCTGTGTGCCTTTGAAAAGAATGTGTATTCTGCAGTTTTTGGATGGACTATTCTGTATATATCTACTAAGTCCAACTGCTCTAATGTGTCATTTAAGGCCAGTGCTTCCTTATTGATCTTCTGTTTGGATGATCTATCGCCTACTATTATTGTGTTACTGTCTATTTCTCCTTTTATGTCTGTTAATAAGTGTTTTATATATTCAGGTGCTCCTATGCTGGGCGCATAGATATTTACAAGTGTTATATCCTATCCTCTTGTTGGATTGTTCCCTTTATCATTACATAGTGCCCTTCTTTATCTCTTGTTACAGTTTTTGTTTTAAAGTCTATTTTGTCTGATATCAGTATTTCTCCCCCAGCTTTCTTTTCTTTGCCATTTGCATGGAATATCTTTTTCCATCCCTTCATTTGCAGTTTGAGAGTGTATTTAGGTCTGAAGTGTGTCTCTAGTATGCAGTGTGTACATGAGTCTTGTTTGTTTGTCAAATCAGTCACCTTATGACTTTTGATTGTACCATTTATTCCATTAACATTTAAAGTAGCTATGGGTAAGAATGTACTTATTGCCATTGTGTTCCTTTTCTTCTGAGAGTTTTAGTAGTTCTTCTCTGTTCCTTTCTTCTTCTCTTGCTCTCTTCCCTTGTGCTTTGATGTATTTCTTTAATATTATGTTTTGGTTCCTTTCTCTTAATTATTTGTATTTTTATTATAGTTTTCTGGTTTATGATTGCCATGAGGTCCATATATAATAACCTACGTATATAGAAATCTATATTAAGTTGATGGTCTTTTTTAATTTGACCTTGTTCTAACAGCTCTACTCTTATTCCCCTCCTCCCACATTTTATGTTTTTGATAGCATATCTAAACTCTTTTTTTGTGCCTGTGTATCTGTTGCCCTCTTATCATGGAAACAGATAATTTTAGTACTTTTGTCTTTTGATCTTCATATTAGCTTTGTAGGTGATGGTCTGCTACCTTTACTGTATATTTGCTTTTTCCAGTGATAGTATTGCCTTTTGTTGATCATTTTCTTATTCCTATTTGTGGTCGTCTCTTTTCCACTTAAATAAGTCCCTTTAGCATTTCTTGTAAGGCTAGTTTCTTGTTGATAAAATCCTTTAGTTTTTGTTTGTCTTGGAAACTCTTCATTTCTCCTTCCATTCTGAGTGATAATCTTTCTGGGTAGAGTATTCTTGGCTGTAGGTTTTTTCCTTTAAGCACTTTAAATATATCTTGCCACTCCCTTCTAGCCAGTAAAGTTTCTGCTAAGAAGTCTACTGACAGCCTTCTGGGGTTTCCTTTGTATGTAACTTGTCGCTTTTCTCTTGTAGCTTTTAGGATTCTTTCTCTATCTTTAATTTTTGACATTTTAATTATAATTGTCTTGTCATCAGCCTCTTTGGGTTCATATTGTTTGGTGTTCTCTGTATTCCTGTACCTGTTTCCTTTCTTGGGTTAGGAAAGTTTTCAGCTGTTGTTTCTTCAAGTAGGTTCTCTGTCCCTTTGTCTCTCTCTTCTCCTTCTGGAACAGCTATAATATGGATGTTAGTATGCCTGATGTTCTCCCAGAGGTCCCTTAGACTGTCCTCATTCTTTTTAATTCTTTTTCCTTTTTTCTGTTCAGCTTGTGTGATTTCCTCTACTCCTTCATCAAGCTTTCTAATCTATTCTGCTGTGTAATTTACTCTGCTATTGATTCCCTCTACTGAATTATATATATATTTTTAGTGAGGAAGATTGGCCCTGAGCTAACATCTGTTGCCAGTCTTCTTCTTTCTTTTCTCCCCAAAGCCCCAGTACATAGTTGTATATCTTAGTTGTAAATCCTTCTAGTTCTTCTGTGTGAGATGCCACCACAGCATGCCTTGATATGCAGTGTGTAAGTCTGCCCCCAGGATCTGAACTGGTGAACCTCAGGCTGCCAAAGTGGAGCATGTGAACTTAACCACTACACATTGGGCCAGCCCCCTCTGGTGAATTTTTCATTCCAGTATTGTATTCTCTATATCTGATGGGTTCTTTTTTAATTTCCCAAGTCTTTGTCGAAGTTCTCACTGTATTCCCAAGATCAGTGATCATCCTTATGATCATTAGTTTGTACTCTTTATCAGGTAGATTGTTTATCTTTGTTTTATTTCATTCTTTTTCTGAGGGTTTGTCCTGTTCCCTTATTTTGAACATATTCCTTTTCCTCCTCATTTTGTCAAGTTCTCTGTGCTTATATCTATATATTATGTAGATCAGCTATGTCTCGTGCTCTTGGAGAAGTGGATTTATGTAAGAAATGCCTTATGAGGCCCAGCAATGTGCTGTCCTCTTGTCACCAGCTCCAAATCTTCCACAAGTGTTCCCCACATGGGCTACATGTACCCTGCTGTTGTGACATGATTGCATTTACTGCAGGTGCACAGGAAGGCTAGGCTATCCCCCTGGCCAGCTAGTTGCAAGGCTCCACTGCTACAGTCCCTTTAGTCACTTTATAGGGCAGGCACAGCTGGCTGCAAGGTCTAATAGCAGACATATGCTGTTGTTTTTCTATTAAGTGAGTAGGCCCCCAGCATGACTGGTTGTTAGCCTCAGGGTTTCACAATTGCCATTGGCCTCTGGCAGGAGTGTAGCTGGGTGTGGCCTGCCCAGGCATGACAGTACACAATTGTTTCAGGTGTTAGAAGATGCAGCTGGTCTCCTATGTGGCTGTTTGAGAAGCACAAGTCTGCTGCAGCTGACAAGACCCACAGCCCACAGGCCCACACACCTGGTCAATGCAGTCCTGTCCTGTGCAGTACACACACCCCACCCCACTGAAGGGGACCCATTTGCCCCACTGCAGAGGCTCCACACACTCCACAAATGTAGGGCTGCCTCTCGCACACACCCTGCAAGGGCCGACCCACTCAGCCCATTGCAGAGGTCCCATGCACCCTGCCTATGTGAATTAATGAATGAGAATGAGAGTGAGAACCCAGGCAGTAGGATTTGGAGGCTTTTTGCCTTCTTGAAATCACTGTACAAGTATTATTTGATGAGGTTGATCATTTTCCCATTCTGTTTTTTGTTTTGTCTCTCATTTCTTTAACTACACCTTTTTTAAAAAAATTTCTTCTTAGGCTTTTTAAGAAAGAAATTTTAAATCTCAAAGACTTCAAGAAGAATGTATATTAAAAAATCAATTGTTGGGGGGTTTCTTTCACCAAGATTGGAATAGTCATGTTGAAAATGCTCCATAAATATGGAATTGCTTGCCATTTCACACTATAGATGAAGAACATTTTTCAAATTCTATAGTTCCTTCTCTAATTTCTTATAATTAACATAACTTCCCCTCTCCCTCCCTGTTCTCTGTTTCTGATTTTTATCTCAAGTTTTCTGGCTTCTCTTAAAATGTATGGGCTCATAGAATGATCCTGGAAGAAATCATTTGGTCCAGCAGAAACCAATTGGAGGTGATGCCTGCAAGATAGTGAAGATCAGAATGGAAATAGACATGTGATCTGCCCAACAGTTGCAACCTTTGTGCTCCTTGCACAGACTAAATAACAGGCCAGATTTCTTAGGTAAAAGCTGGAATTAAATTTCCCAGTGCCATGGCTAATTATTTCATTCCAGTTAGTTCTGATTTATGAAGTACGTATATATAATACATATCCACATGTGCTATGTATCTTATGACTAATTAGAAGGTGAAACACAAATTAAACACTATTTCCTAAATACAATTTTCCTACTGAAGAAAGTCTTTGAAAAAGTGAATCATATAGATGAAAAAAATTAATAATATTTTTCTTTAGTAACAAAATATATATGAACAGTTAATTTAGTCTGTATTCTTTATTTCCTTAAATAAAAGTTTAAAACCCAAAAAGGTAAAATTAGGCCTTAAAATCATACAAAAAGCTATTGGAAGAGCCAGGCTTGGATCCTAGGTCTCTTGGTCTCCTAGTGCTTTGAGATATGTATACAAATATTTTTCCATAAACCTTATTGTATCTTTGTTAAGCATATTATAATTTCAAAACAAGTTCAAAACTGGCTTTTAATCTATGAAAAACAAAATAAATAAGTAAATAGAAATGGATCCATGATGTACTGTGAGGAAAGGGAGGCTCTCCACGTCCCTGGAGAAAATTATTATACCACCTGATTTATATATAGCTTCAAAATTTCTAGAGGCCTATCAAATACTTTCTCACATTTCATCTTGTCAACACTCCTGCAATATATTAGCATTATAATTTTATGAATGGACAAGCCAAATTAGAGTTTGCCAGCATATCAGCCGGCACTGTGCCATCCGAGGGAAGCAGGATGGCATTGGTGGCGTGTGGGTGGGATTTGGGTGAGGAAGATCTGGGCTTGCCCCTGGCTCTCTGTGTTCACCAACTCTGTCAACCAAGGCAATGACTTAATTCTTCTAAACTTTAATTTTTCTCACCTGTTAAAAGCAGAAGATATTGACCCCAATCATCTCACAGAGTTTTGATAAAGATCAAAGAAGTTATTCCATGTAAAGAAATGTATAAACAAAAATTTATCTTCTGATATTCATTATAATTATTTTGATACCCCTAGAGAACATTTCCATGAGGAGATGAAGGGAATATATATATATTTATTAACAAGGCTACTGATGAATAATTTTAAAAACCAAAATTAATGTTGTTTACTTTGAAAAAATCCTTCATAAGGGAATAAATAAATAGCTGATCAACCAGAAAGCAAATCGTTGTTGTTAGTGCACTTCAATGCCTCTGTGTTCTGTGTAGATCAGTAAGCAAGATTCCCCTATTAAGGGAGAAAATGACAAGGGAATACACTAGCTCACCTTCGAAATCCTGCTTTTCTTCCACAGGGTTCCCCAGACTTGCCTGATTCTAATAATACAAGTTCTTTTTTCAGTAGATCTGAGGTAGGGACAGTGAATCTATTTTTTTAACAAGATTTTTGGTTGATATATGATCTAGAAAGTTTAGGAATACTGCCTGAAGTGAAAATCAAAGTCTAGATAGTTCCTCTGAGAGTAGAAAGCACAGGAATGCACAAATGCCCTGTGAGTCAGACTGCTTCCCATCCTGGAGTTTAAGATGTGAGATTCAGGTTCCCACTCACCCTCTTGCTGCTTTCTCATTAGTGGTTCTCCAAGTTCTTGATGCCCTAATAGAGACGGATCATCACATTTTCACTTGAAAAGTCAAATGGCCAAACACAAAGCTCTTAAGCACTTTTTTTGAAGCTGAGAACATTTAAAAACAGACAAGAGGTAGTTACTGAAAAGAAATGCATGCATGTTTAATATAGATAATTGTACAAAGTGAAGAACTAGAAAATTCCTTAGTCACAGTGGACATCTCTTTCATTGAATGATGGCAACAGAATCACCCCTCTGCTTGGGTGGACTGGCAAGGCAGGTGGATCCTCTCTACCCAGGAATTGTGATTGCCCTGGGCTGAGTCCCTGACAAAAGGTGGGTAAAGCATCGTTTCCCTTAGATTTTTGCTTGTGAGACCATGGACAGCCGCTCCTAGAGTCTGTTGAGAAGCAAAACTAGGAGACGTGAGTCTGGAGTTCCATGTTGCCATACTTAGATGCTAGTTTACAGACGGAGAAAATGAATGTTTCAGGAAAGAGTGCAGGATAGGAAATTGGAGGAAAGTATCTTGGTATTTTCCACACTCTCTTCCCCATCACCTCCCAGGCACAGCTACAGCCATGATTTTCCTGTAGCTTTGTTAAAGGAGCAATTATAAAAACAAAAAAAAAAAGAACAGTGCTGCTCTTCCCCCGGTTGTGTGTCTGTCACATGCAACTGGAAGAACACTGATTGGCACAATAAGTTGTCAGATGGAAAATAGCCCATAAATAACCACTCTCAGTATTAGGAATTTTACAACAAAAACGAAGACTTTGTGGACAAAATAAAGTTTCTTCACTGTTGATATTCCACGAATGCCAATTTCATGAAAAATAAAATGTTTTCTCTGCACTTGAAAAGATATAAAGGGTGAAATGACCTGAATATAACCTATTGTTCTAAGTGGCACTTTTCTACATTGCTATTGCACATGCATGATATAGCAAACCCAGGTCAGTATAAGAAAAATTGTTTGGCAGAGAGCATAACCTGAAGAAAATGCCAGATCATTCATTTATTTGTAATTTCAGATATGCCTTTACTTTTCAAAATGACTACAAAAATATTTTTCATCCATAATCATTCAGCTAACATTTCTCAGGAGATCTATTTTATACAGAATATGAAATAAAGCCTAGTGTTGTTTTGTGCAAATAACTTGGGAATCCATATGGAATCCATGTAAAACTCAGTATCTTAATTATATTTGCAAATGAGAACATGTAAGCAACATGACTACATTTCCTTTGTACTGGTCTTCACAGTGTCTACTAGAAAAAAGAAAAGAAAAATTGGTATTAATCTCTATTTTCTGTTCTTCTGATCCACTTTGCTACATTTTGAGACTTGTGCTGATGTATTTTCTGACACAGCCACTTCTGATTCTCATATTGGTGATTGTTGGTAGAAAAAAGTGTAGGGCTTTTTTTCCATTATAGATAGAAAGGCTATGATGATTCTCAGCTCAAATCAGAAATATTCAGTGTCTATATGAAAGAGAAAAAATGGAAAGAATATATAGGTTGCTTTTTTTTTCTTCCTGATAAAATTACTAAGGCAGGGAGCAGACATATAAAAAAAGCTTCTATCATAAAGGTATGTCTTTAACCTTAAGCATATACTATTCAAGAAATGGTGCTAGAAGATATACAGACATCTGAAGCCAAGCCATTATTACAAACCATGGGAACGGGTTTTGCTGGAACAAATGAAAAACTTATTTGTAATATGTTCAGTTCCCAAGGGAAATTAAAAGAATGCAGAACATATATACCATTAGCATCTGGAAATTCTTGGTGGTGCATAGTTAGAGTTGACAAATGAACCAGGAAAATCTGAAAATTTACTCTTCTCTAGGCTATTTCAGAAAATGAAACTAAAATGAACTTTCTTGCCCACTACTTTGGACCCGTCTATTGATTTTACTTTAAGTAAGACTGGATTTAACACAAACTTGTAATAAATAATCATACCTACTATTTATCATATCCTTAAAATGTGCTAGGCAATAATACCAAGGTTTAACTTGTATTAATTTATTTAATCCTCAAAACAATCACATGAAGGAAATGAGGCATAGAGATTTAAGTAGCTTGGGCAATGTCACATAGCTAGTTAGGGGTGCAGCCAAGAAAAAAAAATAAGCAATTCGGGTTCCGAGCTTCACACTCCCATTAATTTACGAATATCTACCTGTAAAAAAACAAAAAAGATATAAGACCACTTAGAAAGATACATGTAATACAGTAGATAAACTTCTTAGTAACAAGGGCTAGGTAATTTGGATTAAACTTCTGATCGAGAGCAACTAATGCAACTGGAAAAAAAAATTTAAATCATCTGTAGGAAGGCATCAAAGAACTGATAAAATAATGCATGATTACATAGCCAGTATCTGGGCAAGAAAAGAAGCACAGGGATGGAAGCCAACTAAAGGGATTGCTCTTTCCAAAGAGACTTGCTGAGAATCTGAGACTTTGACAGCCTTGAGGGACTAGCGACAAGAATTAGAGTCCAGGGCTTATTGAGTGTACAGAGAATTGGTGAATACTATCCATTAGGACCCAGACAGGTTGCACCTACAGAGTGAGATTAAAATAGAAGTAGACAACCTATGCAAGGAACTGAAGTTCAACTTTGAATTATTATAATTCCAGAATTAAATTAGGATGATCCCAGAGTGTTGATGTCCCCAAGCACCATTCAGAAACATATATACATACATGCATAAATAAATCCATCCATCTATCCATCCATTCTATACTTCAAGTTTTTTTACAAATAATTTCCTAAACACATTTGGTACAATAAAACTAAATAAGTGGAAATCAGCTGACAAGACAACATACAAAAAACAAACAGGTGTGTAAATCAGGGTTTAAGTAGAGCAGCGGAACTATTAAGATATTTTATGTAATGGTGGAAGCTGTATAAACAGTCTCTAGACGTAAGACTGTTGTCTTTGCTTCTGATGCTGGAGCTTGAAATTCAGAGGTCTGACAGTTGGGAAAAGAAGATAGATGTAAAGTGGAGGAGAACAAAAAAATCTGGAACCCACAACTAGAAAGGAAATCAATAGATTATATGAAAAACAGTATCAACCAATTTGACCAAATTGACATTTATAGACCACTCCACACATTAATAGAAGAATATATTCTATTTTCAAGTATACATGGACAAAACATTCAGCCAAATAGACCATAGGGTAGGCCATAACCAAGTTTTAAAAAGTTTTAAAAGTTTGAAATTATACAGAGTAAGTTCTCTGACTACAATAGAATTGAATTCAAAAACAGTACAAAAAAAATCTGGAAAAAGTCAAATAATTGGAAAATAAATATAAACTTAGACATGATCATTAAATCAAAGAAGACTAGATAAGGAAACATTTTGAACTGAGTGAAAATAAAAACACAATATATCAAAATTTGTGGTATGCTATTGCATTAGTTAGAGGGAAATTTATAGCTAAAATGTTTTTAATAGGATAGTAAAATGGTGTAAAAGCAATGATCTAAGTATCCACCTTAAGATGCTATAGAAAGAAAAGCAAAGTAAGACCACGGTAAGTAGAAACAAGGAAGTGAAAAAAATAAGAGTAGAAAATTATTAGTTAGAAAATGGAAAAAACTCTATAGAGAAAATTAAGCCATAGGTTGTTTTTTTGATCAATAAAACATAAAAACCTAGTTAGAGGGATCAAGAAATAACATAAATACAGCATAAATCATCAATGTCAAGACTAAAAGAAGGATCATCATTACAGATCAAACAGACAATAAAAGGACAATGAGAGAATGTTATGAATACTTGATCTCAAAAAATTGGAAAACTGGAATGAAACAGAAAAATTTTTTAAATAATAAAGACTACTCAAGAAGAAAAAGTATCAACAAATGATGCTGGGACAAGTACATGTCCACATGCAAAAGAATGAATTTAGACTCCTACCTCACACATACACAAAAACTAACTCAAAGTGGAACTTG